CATTTTTAAACAGTCTCCGTATCATCAGAGCTTGACCACTTTAATACTGCAAACTGATGTGTATGTCTAGAGTGCCCTTCTGCCTAAGGCCCATCTGAAGATAGGTATTTCTATTTCTTAATTGATGCAAGTGCTTTTAATTTTCAATAAAAATGGTAGGAATATCTGTCGTCACTGAACCACTGCTTCACTAAAAAAGGCAGAAAGTGAGCAATGAATTCACAGGAGCCAGGAGCTTGCTTTGGTCAGAAGCTGGAATAAGGGCATGGATGGAACCTGGGAAAAACCTTCTGTTGAGTGAATCTGACTAGTAAAAAGTTGGCACATGTTGCATTTCCCAGTGCTAGAAGACTGAGTTTTGGTATTTAATTTCCTTCAGATTCTCTTCAGATAGTGTGACTAATAGGTTTTCTATATTCATGATCCTTTTTAATGTGGTTTCCTTAAGATCTTGTTCTCTTCGTGGTTTGGATGTAAACAGTTTATGGAGAGCTGTTTATTTAGGCATGTCTTGTTATTAAGTCTCTTTATTAACATGTGCCATGCAATTTAGATGTGCTGGTTTAATGGTTAAAAGTATGCTAATTCACACAGCGTTGTCATGAGTAAATGCCTGTAAACAAGTATCTGCAATTAATATTATAAGTTCATTTTCAACTGAATGCATTCTAAGTAAGAAGAAACAGTCAACTGAAGCAAGGTGAAAATTCACTTTTGAAGTACCTGTTTGAAATTCAAACCTTGCATTATAGCTTTTTGTAGTCTAGAGAAAGTGTGAAAAGCATCTCAGTAGAGGTGGAGGGAAGGATAAGAGGGGAATAAAGATATGACTATCTTTATTGCCAGTTATCTAAATGAAAGTAATTTTTTTTTCTAGAATAAATGAATTAAGAACTGTACATAAAGCCGTTAGCTCTGGAGTATGCTGTATTTATGGATATACCTGGCCTCTATTTTCATCGTGTAGATAAATCAGGGGCTAGTATTTATAAAGGCCTAAAATTTTAAGCACTTTGTAAAGACAATGAAACTTGTTTTAATTGTCCTCTTACATGTAACAAAAATGAGTGGCTCTACCAAGGGGGTTTCTTGTACAAAATATTTTCAGAGCACTTAGGAGCCATGCTTTAGACTAGCATTCTAGTTCTTTTGCTGTGTGATGTTATCTTCTGTAACTTATTTTTCTGAGACATTCATGAAGGTTTGGAAGAGCAGCAGCGTAAATGACAGCTTTAGATAAGATGCACAAAGCAATTTTGGGGAAGAATCTGGAGTAATGGAGGAGAACTGAACATTATAATAATGGGAAAGCAGAAGAAAGGGCACCTCTTATTTATTCATTATCAAGAAAAATTCTGTTGAGCTGTGAATGTTTCAATATATCTGTGACTGTATGCAAAATTTAGCACACAAAGGGAAAGTGCTACTGTGGATAAATTAGAAACATTTTTCATTATTCTATCACTGGAAGTAAAATTGTTAGTACATTAAGTTACTTCAGGATCACTTTATTTCCATTAATGACAAGAAAATACAATTGAAATTATTCATTCAATACTGAGTTCTTTAAACTGAGAGCTTTGAGCTTCTATAGAATACACTTAAATAACTAATTTAGAAAAAGGTGTTCATATTTTAAAAAATAAGGCCATCTTTTCCTGTATGTCTATGAAAATTAAGTGTTAGGTAGTCACAGTTCATAGCAGAATCAAACCTCAGTTTTCCTACACAAGCTTCATATTTGGGACAGATATTTGCCAGTTTTATTTCTGTACTTTACTTGGAGAGGTAATGAGTTGTTGTTAGTCACATACACACAAAAAACAGCTGAGTATTCTTACCTTTAAGGTATTTTTCATTTAAGCCCAACTTGAAATCCTGTCTTTTTTTTAAGCTACTGTCTACAAATACTAAATAGCCCTATTTTTATGATTCTGTGGTCAGCATAATGCTGACTCACAGAGTAGTCACTATGCCTGATGTTGAAAATAAGTAAACAATATCCACAGTAATAAATGTTTGCAGGAACAAGACACTTGTATTATAAATTGGTTTGGATTTGCAGTACGTATTCTGTATGAACAGGTCAGTGAAGCGTAATTTTTATTTTTTTACCAAATAATGCTTGTCATTATCAGGAGACCCCTAGAGTCAAGAAAAACAAAGCTGTAGCAGGAGAGAAGGAATTAAATTTTATCATTGCATACCTGACTGTAAATTCTACTGGTAAAGGGTCCTGCTAAGGTCTCCAAGAAAACTGAGGAAAAATTATGCTTCCTATGCTTCCTCTGTCAGCATTCCAATCCATCATGTAAAGAATGTTTGTGTACATGTGCACTGTCCATCTTGCCCAACACAATCAAATGTTCATTATTTCTGATTTAATAGTAGTATAGTCAAGATAATCCAAGTATTTGTCATAGCTCAGATTTTCTACACTGCAAGGGTAAGGTATAAGACATTGAGAGATTCTTCCACCTGAAGCATGTATCTTCTCTACAAAGTTAAAATCTCATCACAAGTCTCTGCCAAGCGTGGCAGTGTTATGGACTTTTAGATGTTGATACCACTCTGTCCCCAAAGTTTTTGTAATTAGTGAAAGGTAAGGCTAGCTGTTCACATAGGAGATGCAACTCCTCCACTGATATTCACACCATCTTTCAAAACATTTCAATGACAAATAAACACTTGGAGAACCTAAAAATCTGTGCTTCATGGAAGACTGAGACGTGCAGAGACACTGGAAAAATCAGTTGTTTGGAAATTGAAAACCAAATCCTGATTCCCAAATAAAGAGGTGTGGGTAGCCTGGACCAATACTGCTACATAAAATAATGCCAGCATCATAGCTGTGTGGTCCTTTTCTGTTTGTTTGCTTGTTGTGTAATGGGTCCTTAGAGGTTTCCAATATTCCTCAAAAGCAACATAAATTTTCTTGGATAGCTGTAACATTCAGCATATCATGATCAGTGACTCATGAATGTTGGTCAAGAGTTTGCTTTTAGTTCATCTCCTGAGTTTACTGAGCACTGAGAAGCAAACCAACCTTTTTGAAGTTTGAACACTTGCAGTGTGTCTGAAATGTCCACTGTGATTCAGCAATTAGAAATTCAGCATTATTTTTTGTTCTTTTTTCTGGCAACATCACTTGGTTTGATTTTTTTCATCCAATTTGGGACACACTGATTAAATAATGTCCTCTGAAAAAAATATTTCCTGTCTTAAATTCTTAAAAATTATCCCCCAATGCCCTATATAATCAAGGTCTTGCCAGTCTGCCTTCAGTATGAAGACAGTTTGAGTCTGTTACTTGTTTGAAGCAACTTCAGCTGCCATCCTGCCTATGCAGATTGTCTTTACTGAGCACTTCTGGTGTATTTTAGAATGAGTTATTCTCAGGTGTTGGTAGTTAATGAATCACACATAGGTCTAACTGTAGCTCAGATGGGAGACAGAGACTTATATCCTTATTCCAGGGAAACATCAAATGGGTGGGAACTGAGGTCTGCTGTCTCTTCCAACAGCTCCACAGTCATATGGGAGCTGTTTCACTCTTCATGATGTCAAAAGGAAAGACAGAGAACAGGCAAGAAGGAAAGATTTTCTAGCCTAGTTTTGGCTGCTTTGATTTCTAGTGCCTAACAGAGTTCTGAAAACTTGTAATTCCTGAAAATACTGGAAGCATGAAAAGAAAATCTTGAGTGCCACAAGCAAGAACAGCATATTGTAAGGCATATGTAAAATGCTTTGCAGGTAGGAGAGGTGGATTCAGGTTCTCTCCGACAAGGCATATCTAACCTAAGTGATCAAGTCCTAGATGGATTTTCCACTGAGTGTCCTATCTTTGACCAGTTAAGGTGACTCACTCAAATTGCTGCCTCCTTCTTTAGTGCTTTATTTCTTTTGCTTTTTCACACATCATATCTTACTTTAATATATAATTCAATTAAATGGTTTTTTGCTTGTTTGTTCTTCCTTTCCACAAATAGTCTAAATAAGTATATTGTGAGAGAAATAAAACTGAAGTTGTTTTTAATTTTTTTGAGCTTGACAGCTTTTAAGTACACTACTTTTTATTAGCTGGCAATCACACTTTCAGTAATGTAGAAATAAGAGCAATTAGATTGGACAAATAAATCTTTTTGAACTATATATAGCTTCCATATATTAAAACTTCACAGAATGAAAGCAGGGCTGACAAATTATCAGAAAAAACAATGATGTATGTAATATAATCTTTTTCCTTATTTTTTTCATCAAGATAGTGAGGAAGGCTTGGTAGGGGTCTGTAACTCTTTATTTGTTAAAAGCTGTCATGAATGATTCTGGCTTTGAGAAAAAATGTCTTGTCAATCTCTTCTTTTCTGTTCCCCCCCTCTACTTTGATTACCCATTTCAAGGCCTTTATTTTCTCTGCTAGGTAAAGTGCCCAGAAGTCAAGGGAGTTAAGCAGGGCTACGTAGTTCTGCTTCTAGCATAGTGTCAAATGCAGCCCTGGGAATCAGACGTTTCTGCCATCAGTCTCTGTAATGCTTATGTTCAAATGGCTTATGTCATCATGTCATCAAGCTCATGTCAGAGAGACATGCTTTAAAACAGGCGCTGGGACTGAGCACACTGGTTTGCAGTGACAAGCAAATAAACAGAAGAATAATATCTTTCTGTTTTCTTTCCATTTTGTGATTTTTTATCCAAAATATATGTGTATCTAACCTTTGACAGGATTGTATATTGCTGTGTAAAAACATCACCTGTTAGCAATTTATATCATTGTGGCTAACATGGAAACCTTTCTATGTATCAAAAGAGATGTAGCATTATAAAAGAAATTAAATATGGTGTTACTTTGGGTGTCTCCATAATACATATCTCTTCTTAGCATGTTTTAAAAAATCTCTGTGATTTTAAAAGCTTTAAAGTAATATTCTTATGCAGCTTTCTGTTACTTTGGATTATACATCCTACAATGAGTATATATTTATTGTTTTATTTCTTCATAGATATTTCATTGATCATAACATGGAAGAAGATAGGTATTTCACCATTGACGCTAGTACTGGGACCATTAAGACTGCCAAGATCTTTGACAGAGAGGAGACACCTTGGTACAACATCACAGTGGCTAAAAAAAAAAAAAAAAAAAAAAAAAAAAAAAAAAGGAAGAAAATAATAATTTTCAGATTTTAAGAAACACTATCTTGAGATGTTATGTTCTTTTTAACACCATTGGGTTTTTTAGTCAGTTTGGATAAAGGAGAATTTTCTCTGAGTGTGTAAATTCCCTAATTCCACCAAACAAATAAACAAACCCCCACATGCCTATGTGATTCCACCTGTGTAAATTTACCATGTTTTTCTGTATGTTATAGAAGGCTGCCAGTTTACCTAGGAACATTTCCAAGCATTCAGTGTCCTAAAATCAACAATTTTTCCAGTTTGTGTTTCATACTTTGTATATCTTAGAAGATAAGACTATATAGTACTGTTGGAGAAATTAATCTTTCCTCCTTGTATCTGCTCTTAACCTATTCTAGCAAATTTCATGTTAAATATGCTAATATTAATTTATATCTGACAGGTGCCTAGTCATTGCTGATTATCAGGGTATACATCTGGCCTTTTAATACACAAATTGCCAAGTAAAAATACAATAAACACTTGCCTGTGCATCTGCAAGATCTCAAAGTCTTGATAAATTTATGTTGCCTCAGATAAGCCCTGCAACAGTCAAGAAATGTCTGACAGAGTAGTTCCAGATAAATATTTTTACATGAGGCAAGGACAGTTTAAAAAAATATTTCAGTTAATCATTTTATGACAGGGTCTTTATTTTAGCACAAAGTTTTAAAGTTTAAAAAATCAACAAACAGAATTAAAAAAAAAAAAAAAGCAGAGCCTGGATCAATAGATCCAGTCCTGCTAAGTACTCTTTGTAATACTGTCTTTTGGTGACAGTGATTTTGATCAAAACTGTGAACTATTTTAACATATATTCATTTCCTTTTTATTTTTTTTTCCTTTTTTTTGGGTATATTCCATCACTACCAGATGACACAATACAGGTTTTACCTGTGACAGGTTTCACTGATATCATTGAGCCCCACTCTGCTTTCATATGTTTCATTTCCAGGTTAAAAAGGACAACAAATTTTTTCTTACTATTGTACCTGCTTTTACAACTAAATGGAAAATCTGAACTAAGTAATTTTCTAAATAGTAAAATCTAGAGTTTTATGGTTAGCCCTTTAAAGAAGGTAACCACTGACACTTCAGTGTGTTTGACGGTGTCTTAATATATAATGTGTTACTTCAGTGCAGCATGAAATAAAATACAATTTTAGCCTAATCATAAGCAGGTGCATTGTAAGTGTTAATTTGAATTAAGATTTAAAAGCCACATTGGGACATACTGACAAAAGCTGTAGTCACTAGTCTTTGGGAAGCCATCCAAATGTAATTATTTTGCAGGAATAAATCTCAGTAACATTAAACTTAAATGTAGCTTTCTACACATTATTTATTTCACATAGTCAAATGCGTGGTAGTACACATACCATAGTGGGAGAACAGCATGGAGAATAGAGAAGAATGATGTTTATAATGAAAAGACAATAGAGTGAATAATAAAGATGAATTGCCATTTTTTTAAGACAGCATGCTTAGATTTCTCCATTTCAAGTGCAATTTGTTACAGGAAAACAGAGATTTTATTTTTTTTTCCCTCCCTTGCACGCCTTTCTTACTGTTAAAGTTGGGGTTGGAAGCATAAGTAAATCTATAATGTCAGTTTTAGAAACAATTTAGTTATGAAAAAAGGAAGAGACAGCAGTGAAGAAGAGATGGATGACAGGCAGACTGACAGGCCGCCTAAATGATGGGCAGCCTTTCCTTGTGTCTACTTCTTTGGCCATTTTCTTACCCACAGTAATTTGAAAATTGCAACATTGCTGTACTTTTCCAAATCCATTGTGAAATCAGTAATTGGATCTATGATGGAAGAAGGAGCATATGTTGTGTAGAGAACATCAATGCCAAAACTCATTATGTTAAGTGCTGTCTATTCCGTATCTACAGCCTTTTATGGCATACACTTTTGAGTCCGTATGCAAGGAATTGCAGAACTAAGACTAAAGCTGAAAAATAAGTGGAAAGCTATGACCAAAATGTTATTTAGCTGTGAGAGTGGCAGTCTTCAAGTTCATCTGACATGGAACAATGCATTTGTAGCTTCTGACACCGTTTGCTTAGCCAGAAACATAGCAGAATCTGCAAGGCCCAGAAAGATGGTACTGTTTCAACAATAAGAGGTGCTCTGCTAAAATAGTGTTCTAGTTATAGTTAGTTTCTTGACGTGTTTCCCTCTCTTGACTTTATGCTACACTTCACTGACAGAATTCTTTTCTACTAATCATCATTTGGGCAGCTATTTGTAACTCTTATTTTGTTCTTGTTGTCTGCTCCATTGGGGAGTTACAAATCTGAGTCACTTGTCCCCCTTGTCTGAGCGGGATGTGACATTATACAAAAGAAATTTAGAATCAACATCACATTTATACCCTCAAATGTATGATATCCTCATGCTGCAGCCTAATTGTTTCTGAAACTTTCATAAGATGTTTACTTTCCCTTTTAGTCTCAGTATGTGATATGCAGTCTTCATTGATCAAATGTCCCCTTTGAAATCAGTGGAAGATCTACCACTTTCCTCTGTAGGAGCAATGTTGATGTAATGATCAGTGGTTTTTTTCTGTTTATGCAGATACTTCCTAAAGTACGCCAGAGTTCATTGCCACAAGAATAGATGGGGCAATCCCTCTTTTCTTTAACATGTACTGGTCTTTAACAGCAGCATACAGTGAGGAAAAGTGGGATTTTTTTGTCCAGGGCACAGCACTGAAGCTGTTGCTTTGATTGTTTCAGTGCTAGTATTTCCTGTAAACTCCCTGTGGTATTAGAGAATAAGAAAGGTAATAAAATAATAGTATATTTTATACTGAAGGATCTACAGACTATGGGGCAGGGGGAAAAACTACAAACTAATGGCAGTAGGATTTTAAGATAATGTTTTGCATAGGATTATTCACATTTCATTAGTTTGTTAAATTATTTGAAAAAGATTATAAAACAGTATTTGAAAGAGGAAGGAGATTGAATTTGCTTGGCTCTATTAAAGGCTTTTGACCAAGTCTTTGACAAGAGTAATGGAAATAGAAAAATACAAAGCAAGTGCTCAAAGTTTTATAACTGTTGAAAGGCTGATTTAGAGGAAAGAAATACAGTCATAGTGAATGGTTGTTCCTTTGGGAGAGGAAGAAGTTAAGGCTGAGTTAAGGACTGTTGTAGGATCTGTCAATTAGAATTCTTTATAATGTTATCACACAATTATAGGAGGAGATTCAGATTCCCAAGTAACATCCATAGCTGCTAAGAATTAAGGAAGACTGAGAGAGACTTGTGGAAGAACAAGACACATGGAATTGTGGGCTAGACAAAAGAATGGTGAAGTGGACTGAAAATTGCCAGAAATGACAGGCTCAAAGGGTTGTGATCAGCAGCCCAAAGTGCAGCTGGAGGCCAGTCACTAGCCAATCACTAATGCCAGTCACCACCCCACCACCCCCCTCAGGGGCTAATAATGGATACAGTACTGTTTAATGTCTTCATTAATGATCTGGCTGACGGGACAGAGTGAACTCCCAGCCAGTTTGCAAATGACACAAAACTGGAGAAATGGCTGATACATCAGAGGGTCATGCTGCCATCCAGAAGGATCTCAACAGGCTGGAGAAATGGGTGAACAGGAACCTTGTGGGGTTCAGTAATAGAAAATGCAAAGTCTAGTGCCTGGAGGAGAATGCACCAGTACACATGCAAGGACAACTGGCTGTAGATCAGCAGAAATGTGCCCTTGTGGCAAAGAGGGCCAACTGCATCCTGCAACACATGAGGAAGAGTGTTGCCAGCAGGTGGAGGGAGGTGATCCTTCCCCTCTATACAGCACTGGTGAGGCCACATGTGGAATGCCGGGTCCAGATCTGGGCTCCCCAGTGTAACAGGGACATGGAGCAACAGGACAAGTGAAGGGGCAGGAAATCATTAAGAACTAGACTACCTGTCATACAAGGAGAGACAGAAAGAGCTGGTACTGTTCAGGCTGAAGATGAGAAGACTCAGAAGAAGCTTATCAGTGTGTTCAAATACCAGACGGGGAGTAAAGAAGATACGTAAAGATGAGCAAAGATGAGGAAAGACTTATCTGAGTAGTATCCAGTAAAATGACAGGAGGTAATGTGCACAAATTGAAATACAGAAAATTTCCATTTAAATATAAGAAAAAAAAGGTTTTTACTGGGGCATTGGCCAAAAATTGGGACAGGTCACCTAGAGAGTTTGTGGAGTCTCTGTTCTTGGCGATATTCAACTGGACACAGACCAGAGCAGTGTACATTAGTTGACCCAGCCCTAAGCAGGGGAGTTGGACCTACTGGTCTATGGAGGTGACTTCCAAACTCAACCATTCTGTGATTTTGTGATATTGGGAACTGTATGTTAAATGTGGTGAAGCAAGACAGCTGTTTCTCACAGTGATGTATTCTCAACAAACAGAGGTGGTTGTAAAAATAACCATGAGTGTTTCAACTAAGGTTTCTTTCTAGCATATAGTAGTGCTAATAACAAAAGCAACAATAACAGCAAGCCTCCAAATCACAGATCCTGCAGGAGAAATGTGGCACTATAATATAAATGGATGGACTTCTGCCAGTTCCAAAGCCAATTTAAGTTAGGAAAATAAACAGGTACTTTGAAGTTTTCAAGGCAGTTCTGCAAATAAGACAAATAATAGTATCCTTGCAGTCTTCCTGTTCAATAAGAAGAAATAAAAGCTGCAGGGAGAAATAAACAGTGATGACTGAAGGAATCAGAGAATGTCTTGATTTGAGAATCAAAGTGAAGATTGTAGCTTTCACTAGAAATTTCTACTTAGAAATATAGCAAGGAAAAATGTCAGGAAGCTCTTTTTAAATACAAATTCTAACAACTGAGCTGACTGTTCAATATCTGCTCAATAGACAGAGCAAACCAGCTTCTACATATGGCTTTCAGATGATGATAACATCAAGAGATTACTGGGATTCATAAAGTACTGGACATTTAGATGGATAATAAGAATATCTGTGATTGTAATAAGAAATGTGATTTTTTTGGAAGCAAGATAAGTGCTTATATTTCAGGGCATATCCAAAACTTTATATTTCAGAGATTTGAAATATGCTTTCTGTTGGGAATTTTTCACATATTTCTTTTATGCAGCTTGTAAGTATACCAGTGTGTAAAATAGATTTCTGGCTTTACTAGATCATCAGTCTTTTCAGGATGAAGTTACAGTGTTCCTGAGTGTCTCCAAAATCCTCTGCAATGGTTGAGAATGGATTTACGTAAAGAACCAAACAATGCAATAAATGCAAAAATTTATATTTGAAGGGTCCATAAAGAGTTCATAATCTGTAAAACTGTGGAGAGATTTTGGAGAACAAAACTGAAATAATAGGATACCTTCCAGGTTCTGTCAGATCCTTCAGACTTAAAGAAATGCTAGCGAGACAGTAAAAAATAACCACATGAAAGGATACTCCACATACAGAGCTTTGACATCACAGTGTATTAGATATCAAAATACTTATGTCATCATTGTGCAATCAATTTAGCAGACAAAGCAAAAATCACCAAAACTATCAGACAAAATCAGATAATTTAAAAAAAAAAAAAAGTGTTTATATGTCTTCTGCATTTGATTCTTTGATTCTTTATGCATATTCCTCATACTACCTTCAGGGAAGAAGAAGCCAAAGTGTTGAGTTAGAGCAATACCTCACTGGGAAAACATGCAGTACTCTGTGATGTGGTGTTGAAGAGATCACAGGAAAATGCAGTCATTTCAAAAACTACAAAAAGAAATAATCTTCAGAGATAGAGGGCAATTATATTCTATTCAGAATCAAAATATGTGAAAATTAAGGACAGCTCACAAGAATAAGAATTTGGAACAGTTAATTTGCAAGAATCAGGGTAAAAACATTAAAATGCATGTTCTAATAAAATTGTTTTTAATCAATAAGTTTTGGTAGAAACAAACAGTAACAGAAAGATGCAGCTATACAATTCAGAGGAAAGCAGGATGTACAGAGAATAATAATAATTTTCAGCAGTGACATATAAAACCCCTTGAGATTTTGAATAAATATTGAAGAAACTATAATTACATTAAATAGATAAATTGTATAATTATACTGAGGTGCAGTTATATATTTTCTTTAGGTACACAGTGATATTGCCACCTCATATTGCCCTCAGTGAACAGCAATTTATTAGAAGAATTTTCAAGTTCTTTTTCATGTTTTATCGTTGCATTGCAGCAGAAAAGACATTTCTAAGATTTTGGTAGGAGATCAAATATATGTTACTTCTGATAGCACTACATGAGACAGTCATGGAGAATGAGAAATGAAGATAGAGTAGAGATGTAAAGTAAACAGAATAAACTTGTTAATGCTATTAACAGGCACACAGATTTATTTTACAAAAAGTGAAATAAAAAGGAAAAATACAAAATTAATTTCTGTTTATTCTGAAACACATGAAAACAACATATGCATATCCTTTAGGCATGTTGCCTAAAGGAAATACATCTATGGAGTAATATCTTCCTGGCATACAGCATTGAAAGAATTAGAAAAGAACAAGAATTTATGACATTTTATTTTCTCATTTTAAACTTTTTTCCCCAATCAAGAATAACTTTAATGCCTTGTATCAAATTATTAATTTTTAGAAAAAGGAACCTTTTCAAAATCTAAAAGAAAGTAATCCAAATCAGAACAAACTGGTCTTACAGTGTTATAATCTCCTTCAGTATCTGGTGAACAGCGGGATGATTGTTTAATACCAGTGAGTTTTTTGTTATATTTGTGTCTTAGTTTTTCATTGAAGTGAAATAAAATTTCCTTATAGTGATTTTCAGTCTATAATTTTTTCTTCAAGACTAATGTTTTATAACAATACAGAGTGTACTTAAATAATGAAATTCACTCTTTTTTAATATCAGTACAGGGAAATTTTATCTTATGTATTGTTTTGATGCTTTTATGATCATCTCTGTAGGTACATTACAGAACCAGATGTAAAAGTGTTACCTTAAATCCTGCACCCACCAAGAAAAAAATCACATTCATTCTTCA